TGTGTGTGTGTGTGTGTGTGTGTGTGTGTGTGTGTGTGTGTTGGCGGTGATGGGGCAGCTGTTTTTCATCTTCAGTCCCAAATAGCTGCTTCCTGGAGCTGAGTTCAGTTAGGGCCTTAGCTTATTTTGGGGATGGGGTAGGGGGCGGGGATGTTGTTCCTTTAATAGCAACTGCATGATCTGATGTGATTGGCTAAGTGGTACAGAGAAGGTGGGGTGGGGAGGGAACGTTTTTCACACCTGCAAGCCATATTATCTAGAATTCCATTACACATTCCATTTCATTTTAAACAGACTTATCTCTGGTGAAAAACATCTATTTGGCAATTTTTTTTTTTTTTAAAATTTTTGAGCAGGGTTTCTCTGTGTAGTCCTGGCTGTCCTAGAACTCAGTCTGTAGCCCAGGCTGGCCTTGAACTCACAGAGATCCGCCTGGCTCTGCCTCCCGAGTGCTGGGATTAAAGGCGTGCACCACCACTGCCCAGCTGCCATTTCTTTGTTTAATGCAACTGTGGTAGATCTCAGACTTCTAGCTACCCTTCACGTTTCCAGAAATCGGCCCCGCTCCCTACCCTGCCCCCTGAGAGTTAAGAAGTCACCGGTGCTAACTTCCCCTTCAAGCTGCAAGACCTGTTTATGACCTACCCAGAACCTGGCTCCCCGTTACATAGGCTAAGCCAGACTAAATCTCGTGGGGTGGAATTTACCACTAACCCTCTAACTATAAAAGCAGAAACCCCCCTTTGTTCAGGGAATCTTAAGACTTCTCCATCAGGACCCCCGTCACACTGTGCATTGTGATCCCTCCCGCTCTCCCACGCCAAGCTCTCTCCTCATCAAGGTTCTCTGGTATGGTGTTCATGCTAATGTTCCTAAGACGTTCTGTACTCCCCAGCCTGCTCACCACCTCACAGGGCTCTCTCCTACTGTAGTTCCCTCTGAAGGTAATGATGTCCAGGCAGCTCTTTACAAAGTAACCTCCTGTTCCCATCTGATTTGTAACAAACTCACCTTATTTCCGGAGGAAGAAACAGAAGTAAGAGAGTGGCGGTGGTTGGTTCAGGAGAGAGGGGCTGACACCAAACGACCCCTCAAGAGTGAGTCTTAGTAGGAGAGAGGGCGTCAGGGCCACAGGAATCGTGATTGAACTTTAAGGTGGGAGAGCATTAC